GGCGTCACTTCCAGGCCCGCCCTCCGGCCCCGCCTCCCCCTGGTATTTTCGGGACTTTCCTAAACTGCTCTAACTTTCTGCCCCTTCCCCGGCCCAGCCCAGCTCCGCCGGATCTCACCCGCCACACCCGGACGGGCGGCTGGAGGAGCTCGGACCCTCCCCCAGGTCGGGCCCCCTCCCGCCCGCCCCTGCCGTGATCGGCCCCCCATCCCGTGCCGCTCCTCCTCACTGTAGGCCGGTGCCCTAAGACGCTAGGAAGCAGAACCCGGGCCGAAGCCACCTCAGCCGGGCCTAACTCAGACATGGACAGTTGCTACGACCCAGTGAGTCACGCTGCCTGGCCCCGAAGGTGGCCGGTGCCCGTGTCTGTCTGTCCGCCAGAGACCCCTCGCTCCCTCGCGCCTGTGTGCCCTCCGCCGGTCTCAAGCCTGCCTCTTTGCCCATCAGTCTGCAAACTCCTTCCCCAAGGCGCTCCTCAGGGGCCCAGGGAAGGGTGGGGCGATCACTAGGGGGTCGGAGCAGGGCGGCAGAGGGCTCTGGGGGGCGCAGGGTCGGCCACCGCCTCCGTCTACCTCCAAACCAGGGCCTGGATGGCCTCGCTGAGTATGACGATTTCAAATTCAGCCCCTCCATTGTGGAGCCCAAGGAGCCGACCCTAGAGACAGGTCCGTAAGTCCTCCAAGCGCCCCTTGTCCTGCAGGGAAGAGGGAGGGCTTGTGCCCTCTGCTGGGGGCACGGGCGCTGAGATCCTGGCTCAGCAAGGCTCCTCTGTCCCCAGCTGATGGCCCCTACCTGGTGATTGTGGAGCAGCCTAAGCAGGTGAGTGCGCCCGAGGGTGGTGTGGCACAGCTTCAGCTTTGGGCGCAAGTGACATAGCTGCAGCTGGTGGCCGCGGGGCCAGGGGTTAGTACCAGGGACGTGGACCACTGTAGCTTGGATGGCTGGTTGCTGCTGATCAGTGAGTGGCTGCAGCTCAGGGAAGATGCTCTTGGCCACTGTGGTCCCTTGCTGGCCAACAGTGCGGCTGCCCTGGGTAGTCCCTCCTGATCACAGTGTGCTCTGCCCTGGACCTGCAGCGAGGCTTCCGATTTCGGTATGGCTGCGAAGGCCCCTCCCACGGAGGCCTGCCGGGCGCCTCCAGTGAGAAGGGCCGGAAAACCTATCCCACTGTCAAGGTGAGCCAGGATGGGGCTGGAAGGCGGGCTAGGGGGCAGCATGGCCAGGGCCACCACTGACAGCCGCTGCCCCTCTCAGATCTGTAACTACGAGGGACCGGCCAAGATCGAGGTGGACCTGGTAACACACAGTGACCCGCCACGCGCTCATGCCCACAGCCTTGTGGGCAAGCAGTGCTCGGAGCTGGGGGTCTGCGCCGTGTCTGTGGGGCCCAAGGACATGACGGCCCAGTAGGTGTCCCCCAGCCCTGACCCCACTGGGATGTCCCCTCATTGCTTGCTAGTTCTAGGCCCAGCCCACCTCTGTGTGCTCCACATCTGCCAGAGGCTCAGGTGGGCCCCAGAAGCTAAGGGCCACGTATAATAAACTAGAGCAGCTTCCTGGAGGAAGTAGGGCTGGGCGGGGGCTGGCAGCGGGGAGGCAGCCTCAGGAGGAAAGGACTGCATGGGGACAGGCCCGACTCCTCCCCTTCCAGGTTTAACAACCTGGGCGTGCTGCATGTGACCAAGAAGAACATGATGGAGATTATGATACAGAAACTTCAGAGGCAGCGGCTCCGTTCCAGGCCCCAGGGCCTTACAGGTAAATGGTGGAGGAGTCACAGGGGCACAGAGGAAGGAACAGGGCCAAGGAGGCTGCCGGGGCTCACTGTGTGCTCCACACCAGAGGCGGAGCGGCGGGAGCTGGAGCAGGAGGCCAAGGAGCTGAAAAAGGTCATGGACCTGAGCATCGTGCGGCTGCGCTTCTCTGCCTTCCTGCGGGCCAGCGATGGCTCCTTCTCCCTGCCCCTGAAGCCAGTCATCTCCCAGCCCATCCACGACAGCAGTGAGTATCCTACCACCCGGGGCCAGGCCTAGGGGTAGGGCGACTTGAGGGGAGCCCTCAAGTTGTGGGGTCCGACGGGCCTGGGTTTGAACCGGGCCCAGCCCCGGTTGCCTTGAGCGAGTCCCTTCTCCCCTGGAGTGCTGCTTCTGTCCTCTGCAAAGGAGGACGCTGGGTTGTGGAGGTGACACAAGGAAGCCCCCGGCTCCACCCATGCAGCCATGGCATTCATCACCTCCGTTAACCCATCTCCCACCCCAGAGTCTCCGGGAGCGTCCAACCTGAAGATTTCTCGAATGGACAAGACAGCAGGTTCCGTGCGGGGTGGAGATGAAGTTTACCTGCTTTGCGACAAGGTTCAGAAGGGTGAGGCTAGAGCCCGGCCGGGGGCTGGGGACGCTGGGAGTAAGAGCAGGGGCAGGGGCAGCGAAGCGCCAGGGGGACGCGTGGCCAAGCTCCACTCCGCCTGCAGATGACATTGAGGTGCGCTTCTACGAGGACGACGAGAACGGATGGCAGGCCTTCGGGGACTTCTCTCCCACCGACGTTCACAAGCAGGTACTCCGGGGCCCCGCCGGGCTGGGGGCTGAGCCGGACAGAGGCCCCCCCGACACGCTGTATGCCCCCCCAGTATGCCATCGTGTTCCGGACACCCCCCTATCACAAGATGAAGATTGAGCGCCCGGTGACGGTGTTCCTGCAATTGAAACGCAAGCGTGGCGGAGATGTCTCGGACTCGAAGCAGTTCACCTATTACCCGCTGGTGGAAGGTGACGCCGGGCCTGCGGATGGGGCTGGGGTCTGGAAGGCGCCGGAAGCAGCCTGAGGACCTGTGGGGCGAGCCTTGCGGGAGGACCCCTGCATCCGGCTCTAACAGCCCGTCTCCCCTGCCCAGACAAGGAGGAGGTGCAGCGGAAGCGGAGAAAGGCCTTGCCCACCTTCTCCCAGCCCTTCGGGGGCGGCTCCCACATGGGCGGAGGCGCCGGGGGCTCGGCCGGGGGCTACGGAGGAGCTGGCGGAGGCGGTGAGGGCTGGGGCCGGGGGTGCGGAGGAGCAGGGGCCGGGGGTGCGGAGGAGCGGGGGCCGGGGCTGCGGAGGAGATGAGGGGCCGGGGGTGCGGAGGAGATGGGTCGGGGGCGTGGAGGAGCGGGGGCGCGGGGCTGCGGAAGGCCATGTGAGCTGCTTGCACCCACAGGTGGCGGCCTCGGCTTCTTCCCCTCCTCCCTGGCCTACAGCCCCTACGCGGCGGGCGCGGCCCCG